AGCCCCCTTGTGCTTAAAAGCGACCATATAACCTAAAAGAATGAAATTCTTTTTTTCTACTTCCATGAAACTAGGGTAACTAAGTAGTTAATTTATATTTCCTTACAGCCATGCATAAACAGCTCAACGAGACAGTAGGGCTGGATCCTGCTCGTCAAATTTGAGAGTGGCGATTCACGATTCAGTCGGCTTCAATGAATCGCGAGTACGCGAGCGCTCGTGGAGCTGTGGCGGAACACTGACTGAAACGGAACAATGTCATATCAACGCCTCTTGGCGAGCGCGAGTCCCACTCTTGTTGTTCCGCCATCCTCTCCGCCCCACACCCTTTGTTGCGCTGCTCTATCTACTGACCTCAATTAGTGACCCCCATAAATCCCCCCCCCCCCCCAACCCCACCATTCGCTAAAACAATGGCTCCATAAAATTCCTTCTGTATATTGGTTGGACCCCGTTCATTTTGTTTTAATAGGGGGGTTGGACTATACCATCTCTTGTAAAATAAGGGGAGCCATACTAAGTGTTCCGTTCCGTTCTTCATCAAAAGAAGACAGAAAGCAGATGATCGGTTAAACAACAAGAAAAGTTGGAAAATGCTCTATCATTCATCTCGTCTTTTATAATACACTCAGGTCAAGGTCACCTTGTACTCTAAACAACAGGACGACTTCCCCATACGCCTTCCTTCAGCAACTTTTGTGCACCCACCATCCCGCACTAGGTTCAAACAAGCAGTAGTACACTACTCACGGGATGATGGCGTGAGCAACTTTTAGGAATCATCCTACACCACAAGCAAACTAATAATAGGGTTGAGGAAATGAACTGCTAAAAATTATTATTTTTTTAAAATTTTTTTTAAAGAAAAAAAAGAAAAAGATTTCATATTGGGCAAGCCCTGTACTAGATCTATAGGTAATAAGTAACGCTATCGTTATTTGAAAAAAAAGAGAATCATCTCATCAACACCGTGACAGTCGTACCCGACGTTGCAGACGTGGGAAGCCTCGCCGTAGCTGTAGTTGATCAAGTCCACGTTGTTGTCCATCATGTACTTCATCTGAGGACAAAGAAAATTCCAAAAATAATGACAAAATTCCTTCACAAGACCATCTGAGGACAATGAGAATTCCGCAAATAATTACAAAATTCCTTCACAAGACCATTTGAAGAAAAAGGACGATAGATGTTTAATAGGAAAGAAGAAGCAAACCACACCAGAGCACCCGCCAACCACCAACTGCCTCTCCTCTATGCTTACAATCTGTACACCATCTTTTGGCTTGACATAGCCCCAACTTTCAACCTGCAAGGAAAACCAAAAGCTTTGGCTTTCCCAAGTAAACACTGTCAATGTGAAATGTAAGGCATGCTGAAGGCATGAACATAGCCTCCAGTAGTGTTCTTAACTCTTGTCCTGCGTCTGTGCTGAGATGTGAATCTTATCAGCAACCGATTACGTCGGACATTCCGGGCAGGCCGCAGGGGTCACTCAGTGTGTACTGTTGGTGTACAGCGCGAGCGCCGGGAAACGTGTGTTTTCGCCATGAATACCGTGGGAGTGTGTCAATCGATGATGAAAATAACGCTCTATCTTTCATAGCTTTCTATTTATAAGGTGTTACAAACACATGAATAACCCTCTCTCAAGCTGATAAGACATTACGAGTAGTTGCGTATATTCGAATAACCTTTCTAGACGCTCTTGTTGTTATGAATGACCTGAGGTTCGAAAGGGGATAAAATATAGGTCAATTTCCGAAAGTTTTGCACTCAAATTGTTCTTTGTACCAGCACAATGGTATTCAAAACTGTCAAACAAGCTTATTTTTTATTATCATTTCAAGCAAAATCAAGCTCATTGGAAAGGTTTCGAAGAGAAAAATGGAAGTCTTGTTTCCTGACTATCCTTTCGAGCTCCTCATGTCTAAGTGGGTCAATTTCTTCTATAATTTCATAGGACGAACATTTTGAATGAGACGTTTGACTCAATTACGAACCAACGTTGGCGGTTCTAGAAGAAGGCCACAAACGTACATAAACTCAAGCAGACTGACCCACACACACTTGACCTGCGTGAATGGGGATCCGATGCGGGACCCGAATTTCCCGTGAGATGATGTTTGGCGCGCGTACGCTGAGCCAGGGGTTGGACTGGCTCGGGAAAAGAACGCAGGCGAGGTTGTTGAAACAGGCTTATCGGGCGACATAAACGCGGCCCCCGCAGGATGAGGGTTAAAGAGATGATGGAATATTGATGCTGACTACAGAATGTTAAAAAAAAACAAAAAACCCTCAAACAAACTATCGTAAAAATACAGAAATTTCTCACCGCTCGCACTAAAGCTGTTCCCGTCTCCATAGATCCCAGTCTGGTGTCTCCAATCTTTAGGCCGACGACTTGCGCTCCTGGGGCAATGCCGTTCAACTCGGGGTTTTCGGGGAAGTTGCCCGCAGCAATACACGCCACGTGCGTGCCATGGGACCCTGGAATTGACAGCGGACAACTAATTACACACTGAACACAGCAATTACAACTTATCACAAAACGAACACAGCACATACAAGTAACAGGGATGCCACTGGACTTTTGTAAAAGTAACAGAAAATTTTTTCGAGACTTGATTTTGCATGCGACGAAGCAATTTATATTATAAATGCAACAAAACAACATCATATCAGTTCAATAAAAAAACAAAGTTCTAAACGGGCGATGCTCAAAATAACGGAAAAACGGCATCCCTGAACTGTTTACCTACTGAACACAGCACACACAACGTATCACAAAATGAACACAGCACACACAACGTATCACAAAATGAACACAGCACACACAACGTATCACAAAATGAACACAGCACACACAACGTATCACAAAATGAACACAGCACACACAATGTATCACAAAATGAACACAGCACACACAACGTACCACAAAATGAACACAGCACACACAACGTATCACAAAATGAACATAGCACACACAACAAATCACACAATGTAGTGAGAGCACAGACAATTAGATTAATCACAAAAAAATGAGGGACCTTAACCTTTCTCAATAATATGGATACCAAAAATTAATTATTTAAAAAAACACAAAAAAACAACCAAACCCCCCACACACAAAAAAACATGTACGAACCAAACGACCAGATCAACCAAAACTCCTAGAAATTTGAATCTCATTCCAAATCAAGAGACTAAAGGGAGGTCACTGATCACAAATGTCTAGAAGAGCAAGAATAAATGATAGGCGGATGGTTTTTAGTTCAGTTTTAGTATGAGTTTTACAGCACTTGCAATACAATTCGATCATAGAAATGCTGAAAATTAGAGGTATTACTAGAGAGTAATATACATAAAAAAGGATGAGGAGAGATGAGCACATTAGACGTTTGACAGGAAAGAAGGAGCAAACCACACCAGAGCACCTGCTAACCACCCACAGGATAATAATTTTTTTTGGTGTGTTTTTTTTTTTCCAAAATTTTCACCAGCTCCGACAGCATGACGCATCACACGCTCTCTTTGTCTAAATTGCTGAACTGATAAAGTAATCACATTAAACACTGTGTCTCACCCAG